TTGGCACAGCCAAATGCAGTGAAAATTTACAGATGAGTACTTCAAATAATAAAAAACTCATTAAAGAAGTTTCAAAAAATAATAAAATTGTTTAGGCCCCGCAATAAAGTGAAAACAAAAAGTAACAAGTGAGCCAAAACAAAATAGTGAGTGGGCGAGCACGTTTTGACACCGCCATCTTTGGCGATTTTCAGTTTTTGTTTGGCTTAGCAAAATGACTTAGGCCTGTACCTCACATCATAAAGAACTCACAAAAAAAAAAAATCAGGAACAAAAACTTATTTTTAGGCCCCGAAATAGTTTTTCGCGGGGGCCGAACGCCTTCAGGTTCGGACCCCGAATGGGACCCTGAATGCCCCTACGTACGGAGGTCGGCCTGGGGACCTCCATACGTATGGGCTGGTGACCCTGGCTACAAATATGACTGTATGGCGTAAGTTGCCCCAAAAAAGACTCGTGTGAAGAGGCTGCGTAGTGGCATTCTCCCACAATTCCTCCACTAGTGGCATTCTCCCACAATTCCTCCGCTCTCCGTCTGCCAACTTTTTTTTTTTTTTTTTTTTTTTTAACACAGCCTGCGACCTCTACTAGGGGGGTGGTGGTAAGAGCAGCCCCTCCTCTTAGCCATCCCAGGTGACTCCATCTATTGGTGGGGAGCAGCACCTGCTGGAAACCGGGTCCAGCTCTCCGTCTGCAACAACACTCTCAAGCAGCAAATTGGTGGGCTTCTCCTATATCCCTCCCTATGAAGGGATTCGCCCAGCGACATACATATGTCCATCTCATGACCGCCGTCTTATACCCGAATCGAACAGAATCAACAGATATACCTACTACCAATGGGCCTAGCTCAGTTGGTACACCCCCCCTGGACTATTGAAATACAGACTCGAGTTCGAATCCGGATATCTTCAGATGAAGACAATAAAATCATTCTGAATTGCGTTAAAAAAAAAAGGAAAGTCATTCCGAATTGCGTAAAAGTTTACAAAAAAAGGAAAAAATCATTCTGAATTGCGTACAAAAAAAAAATAAAAAAATTCTGAATTGCGTAAAAAAATAAAATCATTCTGAATTGTGTAAAATAAAATAAAATAAATTTGAATTGCGTAAAATAAAATAAAATCATTCTGAATTGTGAAACGGTTTTCACCTGTCTGCAGTCACAGATGTGGGCCCTAGAATTCGATCCCCTGACCTCACTTTGCCCATGTACAGTATCCAGCCGACACCCGAGTGTTTGAACCCGTGATCTGTGTTTTGGCAGTATTTGTTGTCTGTCGTAGGTCTGTGTAGTGGTAGGGGTTCGATCTGTAGGTCTGTGGATTAGGAGTCACAGCTTTGTAGAGGGCGTAGCTGTAGGTGTTCTGAAAGGTCAAGGTCGTAGCTGCTACAGTCCTGAAAGGTCAAGATCGTAGCTGCTACAGTACCCGAAAGGCCACAGCCTTCCGGAAGGTCCGGAAGTGGCCTTTCGAAGTGTCCCACGTTTAGTCAGAGGCAAGTGGGCAAGTGCTGAGCCAACTGCGTTACGTCGGCAGTGCGACTGCATCGAGTTGGCAGTGCAATCCCATGCAGTCAGCGGCACCGGTCCCAGTCAGTCAAAGTCCAGTCAAGCAAGTACCGTGTGGGACTGTGTGCACCAAGGGCCCAGTGGAAAGGGGCAGACCAACGAGTTACAGAAGTATAAATCCAGAAGCAGCGCCCAGCCATTCATTCATTCGCTGCGTGAGCCATGCGGAAGCGCTGCTACAGCGTCTTGTGCGAGGTGGTCTGCACGTGGCTCGAAGTCGAAGTGGGCTTGAGGAAGATAGCATAGCCGCCATAGATTAGTGTGTGTGCGAGACAGAGTGAGTGTGCGTGGAGTATTCAGGGTGATCCAGAGTCGAGCGTGAACAGTGGTGTTGAGCACAGCGACGAGAGTTGTGAAGAACAGGCGCTGTTGCGCCATAGCCTGTTGAAGCGAGTTTGCATCCAAACTGTGTTCTCGGTTGCCATATCTCTGAGCTTGGTGTGGGCGCTGTGCGCCAGTGTGAATCGCCATCTGTTTGCATGTATGCGAAGTGAAAGTGAAAGCAAGTCTGATTGCAATTGCGTAAAATAAAATAAAATCATTCTGAATTGCCTGGGGCCGATTAGTTGAATGATGATATCTAAAGGCTCATTCATTCCCCATTGAAGACGAGGGGCTGTGACAAACTGTTTTCGTTGGAGTTTCGCCGACTTACGCATCACGAGGCTGAACCCTAAAAAAAAAAGTCTGCAGAATTGGAGAATCCCCTAACTTATTACACTGTAAGTGATAGTCCACCTTAACCTCAATTTGTGGTGAAAACTTGAAAGCATCGACGACAATATTCGAGTCACAAGCCTCTTTCGAGGGTTTTAAAAACTTTTTTAGGATCAAATTCTGCCTTGTTGTTTACCCCCTTCCCCTTATTTTTATGTGGCAATCCAACTGACAGTCTTCCAACTTTTTTGTTGTTGTCAATTGTGTTGTAACTGTGCTCTCTTTTTTTTGTCATGGCTTGTCCTGTTTGTCTTTCCTCATTTGGAAAATCAAATCAGGATGATCTGGCTCTTGATGTGACGAAAAGGTGAGTACAATGTACATCAAATAGAATGTAATTCTTCAATTTTGTGTTAGAAATTGGAGAAGATGTATGTTAAAGTTTGTGGGTTTTATTTTTTTGACTAAATAAAACAAAACCCACAAAACTAAAAGCTACTAGAATTTCTTCATTATAACGTAATGCCAAATAGAACGAATTCACGCATTCTGATTTTTTTCTTTCTTCTTTGTCCAGAAGAAAACAATCAAATACTTCAGAATATCGCAAAAGAAACATGTCAAAGTACCAGACCTGGTAGAGTCTAATGTCACTGACTCTTGTTTGTTTCAGCATCCAAAATTTCACCACCATCAATACATATTACATTTGCTTATCAGCGATTCAGTGTAGGACCAAGCTTTAATGATCAATTTGACAATTTGCCTTTATTAAAATTTTAAATTTATTTATTATCAGGCTTATCAAAAAAATAAAAATAAAAATGGTCGTTTTAATAGTTTTTCAGGCCAGTTGGAACTTGGAAGCAACAATGAAGTACCGCCTGCATTAGAGGTCAATAGCATCGTTCACTGATCATAGACTCACATGCACATGCAAGACCCGATGCGAAGAACGGTATAGCTGTAAGCGTTATCACAGTTGGCCAGAGGGGCCTCTCTCTCTCTCTCTCTCTCTCTCTCTCTCTCTCTCTCTCTCTCTCTCTCTCTCTCTCTCTCTCTTTTTCTGTTGTTGTTGTCTTAATGCAATTTCCACTTCAGCAGCTTTTTCCATGGACACCTGCATGTGTTCACATCCCAGTACATAATCACATTTGCGTTTTGGCAGCCCTGACGCCTAATAAACCACCAGTTAGGTTTCCCGAGCCATTTTTCTCTGACGCAGCATGTGTGCCGCTGCAAGTTTCGGCGGTCAGCCCACCGGAGCAAAATGGCTGCCAGCACCAGCCGAAAGAAGACCCACACCGGTTCGTTTTCTTTTGGCGCGCAGCGCGTTTGCGTTTCGAGGCTCCACTAGGGATGGGCCAAAACTAATGGTGGTTCAAAGTTCTAGCCACCGATACTGCCGAGTCTGTGCCGTCAGCCACTTTTTTCCGGGGCTTGAAACAAAACCCTGCACGCCAAAAGAAAACGAACCGGCACAGGCCTCCTTGGGGCGGCAGCAGCTGCCAGCCATTTTACTGAGGCAGCCAACCCCCAAAAGTTGTGGCGTGCATGCAGCCGCGCCATAGCAAAAGTTCGGAAATGTACCACTGGTGGTTTAATTACCTACGTGTAGTAGTATTATGTCATTATGTCATATCACTTGTACGCACTGAGATCTGGGAACGCATGAAAAGGACTGCAAGGATATCAATTTTCGTTTTGCGCGTGTCCCTACCCCCCTGCGCTTTGGGATCATTTGTTATTTTACCCCTCATAGTGATTTTTCTGTGAACCCTCAGCTCACCTGCGTCAAGAACAATGAGATGGAGTATCTGGGTTCCGATTCCCTTCTCCTTCACAGCCGTGACAATGAAGGGAATCGATCGTTTGGACCTCTCTCTCTCTCCCTCTCTCTCTCTCTCTCTCTCTCTCTCTCTCTCTCTCTCTCTTCACAGTTGTGACATTGAAGGGAATTGATCGTTTGGATCTCTCTCTCTCTCTCTCTCTCTCTCTCTCTCTCTCTCTCTCTCTCTCTCTCTCTCTCTCTCTCTCTCTCTCTTCAACGCTGATTCTCAAAGCAATTCGCTTGGACGTCAATGGTCATCGAGGCTGACTTTCAAAGCAATTCGCTGAAGGGTCAACCTCAGAAGGGAATCACATGTTTGGGCCCCATCAAGGCTGACTCTCAAACCAATTTGCTTGGAGGTAAACAAGGTTGACTCTCGAAGCAATTCGCCTCCTCGAAATCAGTGGAATCAGTGGAATGTGCTTGTGTAGCTTAATTGGATAATAAAGGCACCAATCTATGAATTTGGGGTTGAGAGGTCAACTTTACATTTGTTCGATGAAAAATTGGATGGTCCCTTCCACGACTTGCAAGTTTAGGGTGCGGCATTGGTGTTAGCGTTGGCATCCGTGAGTGAGGGAAGACACTGCAACAGGGACTGGTAGGTAGAACCATCACAACACTGGAGGCGCCCACAATGGAGACACTGTAGGAGGGACTGCTCACTATACCTCATCAGAAGGGTAAGCGTTGCCGCTTTCAGCTCACCCTTCTTCAGTTGCGCCATCCGGATTGATGATCCAGTCATGATCCAGTCACCCTATAGGGTTTTGGTTCTCTTTTTTTTTTTTTTTTTTTTTTTACATTCTCGATTCAAGAGTTGGGTCTATTCTTGGGCAGCCACTGGTGGTCCAAATCGGCCACTTCCCTTGACGTGGTTCATGCCTGCACCTCTGTGAATAAGGGTCTTCGATCGGATCAGATTGCAGTTGGGCGGTGGCTTGGGTCTGCAGTGGAAGAAAATTGCGATATAGCCTTAGGAAGTTAGGAGCTGTGTGTCCGATGAACGGAGAATGGGAGAAATTGAACGCCGTTGAACCCATTCAACGGGCCTGGGGTCCCCGTTAAATCGTGTCCAACGCGAAAACGGGGGTGTTCCGTTGAATTTTGAAAAACGGAACCGGCGCGTTGGGCCTCAGACACGTGGCCCTACGCGCCCAAACAATGAAAACAGGAAAAAAAAAACAAAAAAAAATGACCCCTACTAACAGGGTGGGGTGGCCAAACATGCCCCTCCCTCCCGAAWTTCAAACTGCAAGAGGGAAAAAAGTAGGGGCCACCCCATACCCCAAGACTGTGAGCACATGTGTGTGCATGTGGGTGCATGTCCTTTTTTTTTTTTTTTTTTTTTTTTTTTTTGACAAATGCTCCAATCTAGTCGTCCAGTCTCATTTTCGAAGGGCCCCTACGGATTAGCAAGGGCCCCTCGTGGAGCAGAGATGGACATTGGACTTCGACACTGCCTGGGTGGGCCGAGAATGTATAGTCTGGATTCGAATTCAGGTCTGTAGCACTCTGTGCAGCACAGTTATGGGTCACTAATTCTCTGTTTCCTCGTTTTTCTTTTGTTTCTCGTTTTTCTTTTGTTTTCCCATTTTTCTTTTGTTTTCTCATTTTTCATCTGCTTTTTCTCGTTTTCATTTCTTAGGAATACGTGCAGTGGCCCTAAGGGCCTCTACTCACCACATGCACAAAAGACACAACATATGGTGGCGTATTATTCCACGTTCTAGCAGAAGATTCATTCTAGTTCTGCACATTTGCAGTGGCCCTGAGGGCCTCTACTCACCTCATGCACAAAATACACAACATATGGCGGCGTTAACTGGGACATTCTAGCAGAAGATCCTTTTTTTTTTTCCCCTTTTTGAAAGCCCAGGGTGTTGTAGAGGCCAAGGACCATCCAGTGGCCTAACTCAGTTGGTAAGGCTCGCAAGTGGCATTCAGGAGGTCGTGGGTTCAATCCCCATTGGCCTCATGTACCTTCCCGGGCATGCTTGGCGCCCGCCACGTAGAGATAGACCACTGGATCCCCCGATCGGCATTGAGCAGAGTCTGCTGATGTTCGCAGGGGAGGGAACCTGAGGGGAGGCACAGGGATTGGTCCTGTTGGCATGGTCCCTGATGCTACCGGCTGTCCCCTAGCTGGTATCGCCCACCTGCAGGTCGGGAGTAGCCCCCGCATGTTCTCTCATGAACACGGTTCTGGCTGCTACGGGGTTCCCCGTATGCCTACAATTAGGAGTAGTGGTAGGTAGGTAGTGTGAGGTGAAATTGAGAGAAGAATATAGCTTTAAAAAAAAAAAAAAAGAGGCCAAGGACCAGGCCCGCCGTGATTGCCGGTAGCAGCAGCCAATGGTTGTCCTGACAGGACAGGCAACCTACCCCACCCATCCCCACGTTAAACCACCAGTTCACACGGAGGTAAATTGACGAACCAAAAGTTGCACGTTTCCGAGCCTGACTCGTACAGTAACAGGCTGAAAAGAAAAATCTCGGGGTACTGGTACCAGCCTACCTGGAAACTCATGTGCTGTACCTCGTGCCAGCAGATGGCATTGAAAAGACAAGCAAAAAAAAAAAAACTAAATCCAGAGCAATGATGTTTAAGGCCTTTGGCCTTTCATGAAAGATATGGGGGAACCCATCTGCACAGGGGATACTCACAATGGTACTGTCCAGAATGTATCTGACC